TTTTATCCTTATTTGCAGCATGATGCATCGCTATCATTGCAGTTCTGGGACAACCTATATGTTTTATTTTATTTTTTTCTTATATGAAATACAAAATGACTGGTCGGTACATACTGTACGTACTCCATGTTCAAATATTGCAGTCCATAATGTTAAATTGACTATATAGAAACATCACTAGTATTTTTTTTTAGATTGGTTTTGTATAGAAAACAGGTTGAGCTAAGTCAGTGTATTGTAATGCAGTATTTCTTAACTTTGTGATACTGATGAAGTATGAATTCACCAGAAAATGATGGAAAAATAATTTATTGAGATCAAGTTGGGCAGACTTACAAACAGAAACGGTGTCTGACTTACAGCAGTCTGTTTCTGTCCTGTTGCTCTTATTTTACCTGTTGCAGGGGCTGCGTTCCAGAGACCCCCGCGATAGGTGAAAATCCACAGTGTAGCGTTATATTTATCTTATTATTTATATATATTTAAAGCTTTAAAACCTTCCCATTTTTTTTATAAACACTTCATTTGCTTTTAAACACTTTGGTGATGAAGATGATGACGATGAGATGAAAGTACAGTACACACAATATAATAAAAAACCTGTTTTAAACAACCTGTGATACAGTGAAGCCACAAGAAGTGAACCGCATATAGCGAGGGACTGTACTGTGTTTAAAAAATACTGTTTTCACATGTTTTCACATGTATATCAGAAAATGAACAGCATGAGTTGATTAACTATTGGGGGGGTGGGGGGGCGCAGAGGCCAAAGAAGGTGGGCCTGTGATCGGAAGGTCGGCGGCTTGACTCCCTGTGTATTGTTTTTGCTCCATTAAACGTAATCTTGGTTTAGTGTATTCCTTAGTTCATATCTTAGATCTTATTACCGATTTTCTGTTCCAATTTATACTTTTGTTGGATGTAACTGGGACACTGTGTACACAATTTCGTTCCACCACATGTACCACATGTGATGTGAAAGACAATAAAGAAACCTTGACCTGTACCTACATTAAAATGTGAGTAGGAAAGGTGAAGCACCCACCACTGCCTCCACCCTCATATGCCGTACTCTGGCCCCTTGAGCAAGGCCCTTAACCCCCTCCATCAGCACCCTGCTCCACTCAGAGGGCTGTGGTAGCTCGGTGGTCTGTGGTTGCATCAGGAAGGGCATCCAGCGTAAAAACTATTGCCAAATCTTGGTGCGAGATATTTTGCTGTGGCCGCCCCTGAAGAAAGGAACAGCTGAAAGAAAATGAAGAAAAAAAAGTTGGTTAACATACATGTCTTTAATTTAACTTTCTGTATGTGCTCCTGTGTGCCTGGAGGCCTGTGTTACTATACTCTCAAATTACACTTCTTGTGTGTTTTGACATAAACATGTAAACCAGTGGTGCACAGCAGGGCCCTGCAACACTGAGGGCGTTGTCAAGTTAGGTACAATACAATATCAGATTACACAATTGTGTGAAAATAAAAGAGGCAAATGCAGGAAAGAAAACGACATTTTAGACCAGGTACATTCGGCTTTATTTATTTATTTCTCCATATGTCACCTGAGATGTGAATGCTGCTTTTATGCCTCAACAAAACTCAGAGCAGAGGTATTTTACCAAGAGTGGCTCACTTTTATTTATAGGAAAATGTGTATCTTTTGTCATATTCATGCTAAATGAGTGCTGTGTGAACACTGTTATTACAAATAAATGTGTATTTTTAAAATGACCAAGCTGACGTTTTATTTTGAAAGGGTTAGCCGGAAGTTGTTTCCACGGCTAGCCTTCTTTGCGAAGAGAAACGATGTTTTTAAAGGGAAACCAAGGTTGATGAGGTGCGTTGTGGGCACAGCAGGTGGAAGGTAGGTACGAACTGCTCTTTGTACGCTCGCTGACCCGGTATTATTCGTGTTCCGATCCCAAAAGGACATTTTGTTTAGCGGCTTATCAGTTTAGGTTAGCGGAAATGAAGACGCGGCCAAGTGTCAAGTGAAGACAAGTGATAACAGCGGGACAGAAGCTAACAGGCTAACGGTACCAGAAGCCCGGTCCACCAGAACCGGCTGCCGAGCTCAGTGCTAGAAGTTCCGCTCGTTTGACCCAAGTAACAGGCTGGAGGTAAAAGTGTGGACGTGTTTCCTGTAAATAAATGGTCTCCGCTGCGTTAGTCTGTGTTAGTACAGTGAGTCTGAACGGCGGTGGGTAATGGCCCCCCTCATGTCCATTAATGTAATGTCCCTCTGAAGACAGGGCAGGACATAAACTAACGTCCTCCTACTTATTCCTACAACTTTCTACAACTCATAAAATGGTGTTTTAGTTTAACTTCACGTGTTTGCGTGCTGCTGAGTGTGAAGTACAAATGAATAAACAGAAATGGAGCATCACGACACTTATTGTGAAATGAAACTTTCTGATAAGAAATATGATAAAAGTAACTTTTTTTTTTTTGTTTGTTTTTTACTGCGGACGTCAGAACACATTTATAAACCTATCACCTAATAATAACCCTAATACACGAGTATTATAGTTATAACAACATAAATGATTTGGTCCTGATGAACCGGATCCGTCAGAGATGTGGACACAGCAGCAGTCCAGCCTCCACTTCCTGCTGCAGAGACAGAGACAAGGCCTCATTTGATTAAGTTTTTATAGCTTGCTTTATTTATTCTACCTGTAATTTTTAAACGTCACAGTCTGGTTTGGATGTTGTTCAACTACAATGGTTGCTCTGAGCCTTTGATTTAAAAGCTTTTTATAGCACAGACTGACTACAAACATTATTGTGAACAAATACCAAATTCATCACTAACCATTTCAGGACAGTACAGGGTCAACACTGATCTGGATACATGAAGGCCGCGGTAGCTCGGTGGTCAGTGCCACAATCTCTTAATCCTTCAGGTTCGAGCCCAGGAAAAGTATCTGATGTAAAATAATTTTCCAATATTTCATGCGAGTCTGTTCACTGTGTCGACTCCTGCAGAAGGGAACAGCTTAAACGCCTTATCTGGATATATTCTAAAATAAATAAATTGGAAAAAGAGATAAAGCGCTATTACCGGTAAGTCTGTTTACACATTCTTAGTTACGTTAAAGGAGCCACTACTTGCTCAAGTCTTTGGATTATGTAAAGTAAATGCACATTTCATCTTGGCTGCAAAAAAGCCAGAGTTACCAGAGAAATGTGTAAGCACAATAAACACATTTACTTTAGTTACAAGACGTCCAAAATGAATGTATTTGTAGCACCGTTTTATAAATAAAAATGCTTTCCAACTTGACAAACAGCTGCTCTGTGTTGCTTTAAGACTCTCCTGCAGATGGAGGCTCTTACGTGGCAGATGGGACGGCTCATTGGAGCAAGTTTCTTATTGTCTGGTGTTTGGGACTGTTGGTGATGGTCATTATGTCTGGAGAAGATGAACCCTTCACCTGTAATCACCCCTTCCTTTAAAACTCTAACTATATTTTATGCTGATTACTCTGACAAGGCAGTGCAGAAACTACTCTCACGTCAGATGGAAATGAGTTTAATTAAAGTCAGCTGCTTTGGTTGCAACAAACGATATGAATGTGTCGTCTGAAAAATACCTCCGCGTGAACATATTAAAACATCGCCTAAAGAGTTATCTTTTTACACAACAGGTTAAAAAAAAAAGTTTAAATATTGTCATACAGCAAGCGTCAAGATTATTATTTTTCCCTCCCAACAATAAGTCATAAACCTGAACCTGGCTGAAATCTGATGCAGCTTCAGCATCGTGTGTAAAAAAAACTTGTCGTCTATTGTGACGTCCGGCTTTGGGGAAGTAAAACATTTCCCATTTTGTTCAAACTTGCTGCTCTTGGATTTGCACCATGTACTGAGAACTGAGGGGCCTTCAAGGTTTTCATTATTTTATCAAGAGACGTGCTTCTGTTACTGTTTGTTGGAATTATGCAGATATATCCATCATCCGAGCACAAACGCCTGTTTAAATGTGTTTTACACATCCAGAGCTTGTACTGTGCAGTTTTGTTTAAAGCGAGTTCATTTTTGTTCACTTTCTTGGTCCTGGGAGCCGAGGACACACTTGTAACTGGACACCGTGTGAAGCAGTCTGTCGGTGTAGATCTTTGTGTGCTACCACACAGCTGACCTTGGCTGAGACCTTCATTTCTGTTGGACTGTGTGCGCTGACGGCACCTTGTCCTGTTGCACTTCATTTCTTTTCTGCATGTGTCGTTTCGTTTTGACCCAAGTCCACATTGTCTCAGTTGCAGGGGAGAGAATGTTCTGCACGAACGCCGTAAAGTCCTGTTGCAGAATCGCTTTTTGTTTACAGTAAACATCGGGGTGTTCTTTCTGCAAACACCCTTCACAGCGATGTCCAGACATGCGCGGGGGATAAATGTAGAGTCACGTTTGTCAGCTCCGAACTCCAACCTGTAATCTGCAGGTTTTATTTGTGTCCAGCACTTGTGGAAGTTTAGGCGAGTTCACTCACATTTGCAGTTTTTTCTTACTTGTTTGTTTTTTTGTTTGTTTGTTTTCCTCCTGAGTAGTACACAGACTCCGCCCACTTCCTGTTATGATGACATTAAATTTACAGGCTGTCAGCGGCTTGAAAACACGAGATGGGAGTTTTATTTTTCCAACAGAACGGTGTTACATGTTTTCCTTTGAATGAGATCCAGCTGATGTCACATCTGGCAGCTGCTCGTTGGTGAATACTTTGAATGAAAGGACACCGCTCCTCTACGACAGAGGAACAGTCTACATGTTTCTAATATAAATGTCCCCACCCTTGTCTCAGGTTGCTGCTGGTTGCTGGGTCCTGCGGAGCAGAGGGGCTGTGCCATTCCCCCCTTTGTCCCCTCATGCCCTCCTTGTGTGTGTCTCCCATTGTATTAGTGACCCCGCACCCCCACCCACCCCCTACCTGATCTCTCCTGTCGTGTTGTCACTCAGACCCAAAGCCACCACCCCCTCTCACCCCATGCTTGGGACAACGCCAGCTCACTGCCAGCCCGATGACTGCCTGGATCGTCCTGCCTGTCAGCTTGGCTGCCTTCTCCATCACAGGAATATGGATCGTGTGAGTCTGGACACAAGCGTCTGTGTCACCCGTCACGTTTAAAGGCTGAATACAACCTTGTTTCAGGATGTTTTAGCGTCACCGATGTTCTTGACGTTTAAAATGATAGTGTCTGTTGCACTTGTAGGTACGCCATGGCCGTGATGAATCACCATGTTTGTCCTGTAGAAAACTGGTATGTGTTAAGTTTTCTTGTTGGGGTCACAACACGAGTTTCAGCGTCAGGGTTCCAGAGCAGCCGTCAAGAGACTGAACTGAGCTCGTTGTGTTTGATGCTGCAGGTCTTATAATGTAACATGTACAGAAGAGCTGCCTCGACCAGGCTTCCCAAAGACCTGCTGCACCGTCCAGGACATCCCCCTCATCAGGTGTGCTGTCGTACCTCTCCTCCTCGCCACAGTTCGGCTTTTCGTTCCCGAAAACAAAACCCATTTTGTGTCAGCAAAGCGCCTTGGGCATGAATTAGCTTCTTGTTATGTTGCGGCTCCGTGTCAGTCATTAACCCACGCTTTGCATAACTTGAATTTGTGCAATCTGCGAAGGAGACCTTGAACAGAGAGCCAGTATGAAAGCACGCTTTTTAGCTGTGTGTGTCATTTGTTTGCTATCTTTTGATTTTATGTCTAGAATGAATCAAAATGAGATGATTGCATGTTTTTTCAAACCTACATCGCAGGAAGCTTGAATTCAGAATTCATTTTTTTGTCCTTTATGTTTATTCCAGTTGGATGTAGAGCATAAACTTTCTGAACAGGCTCAGACCGAGTGTCTACAGCTGTTTCTTAGACTTTACAATGTGATGCTCTGCCAGTGTAGTGACTCTAAATGGTCCAAGAAAACTTCATCAGTCCACATTTTAACACTGATTACTGATACTTCTGCTGTTTTTAATTAGCTGAGGTGTAATATGATTAAAACACTGGTTTGTTACACTGAGTATTCAGTTTAGATTGTTTTCTTGCCCTGCAGTAAATGTGGCTCCTTCCCTCCTGAAAGCTGCTTGTTCAGCCTGATCGGTAACGTCGGCGCCTTCATGGGTAAGTCCTCAACAAATCTGAATAAAGTGGCTCAATACATGTTTTTTCTGTTGATGATAATTATCTAAAACTCGGGCAGATTGTGACATGAACAGTGAGAGTAATCTCACCGTTATGGTGTGAATATTTATAAAGTATTCACGCCAGTGAGATCCGTTTTTCTGCACGTAACTCGTTCTACAGTTGTTGCTACTTCATCAATCCATATGTGAAAATGTTCAGCTCGTTCAGGACATTCCTGCTCTGCTTTTTGGTATTTGTGCAGTTTTGACTTTTTAAAATATTTAGCTTTTTCGGCCATGTTTTTCTCATTGAAAGTGAATGGAGCTCCTCGCATCCTTGAAACCCTTTATTTAACCCTTTCACTTCTCATTTCAGCTTTTGTTCTGGTTCTTTCAGCATCTTTCTGACCATTTCAACTCTTTTATGCTAACTGAACTGAACTGATCCGTGTCTGAGCTCTTTGTCAGGTGCTCAGGGAGCAGGCTAATAATTTAAATTGGGTGTGTTGGAGCAGGTGAACACTCAGTAGTTAAACCTTTTTGGAACGATTTGTACCACGCTCACATTTTTACAGCTGCACCTATTAATCGTTTAGCTTAAGATTACCCAACTACAAGCTGCCAGTCAAGTCAGTGTGATTGTCGTCAGTCTCTACCAACCTGCTGCAGCTCACTAATAAATAATGTGGCTTTTTCTTAGCTGAGCGCAGCTTATCAGATGTTTCTCATGTCTGTTTACAGAAAAGACTTCTTAACGTCTGCAAAGAAATAAGTTGGGCTCGTACATCCCACATATGAAGTAAACCAGAAATACAGGGTTAATAATTTAGCTTTATATGTGCCCGAACTATTTACTTATTCACTTTGGCCATTTCCCCTAACTTTTCTTTATGTGGCGCTGAAAGTCTCAAAACTCTATGAACTGCTTTTTTTTTTATGTATTCTTTTGTGTGTGAATAATGAACTTTGTGGACTAAAAGATGGTTGTGAAAATATTCTCCTTGTGTAATTAGTCTTGTGTCCTGGTCGTAACGCTGCACGGCGCCCACAGGCTGACGGTCTTCAGGAGCTGCAGACATCATGGCTGCTGTTTCATCAATAATGAATGCAGCTTTCCTTCCACCTCCCCTCACCTCCTCCCTCCTCCCCTGTGGCCTCCATCCCTCTTCTCTTGTGTGTTCTTTAATCACCAGTCACTTCTGCCCCACTTTCCCCATCTCCATCCTCGGTTATTTCACTCCTCCCGTTTTCACCTTGGCTTCTTTTTTCACGTCACCTTTCATTCACAGATGCGTTCCCAAACGTCTCCAGTGTCTGTGATGTTGTGACCTTGGATTTGTAGTTCTGCTAATGCCCCCCCCCCC